AGATGAAACTACCAAGTTCCTTCCAATTGATTTGATAGAATTCATGCATTCGCTCAACGATGTTAAAAAGAAATAGCAATATAGGATGGATATATTAGAATACTGAGTCACCTCCAGTTGTGATTAAGGCTTTACTAACCCAAGGATCACTTTGTTCTTGGTCTGTTTAGATAAAGAAAAAGTAGTCAAATAGCTAGCAATTCCAAGTAATAAATCAAAATAGGAAAGTTGTTAAACGTTAGCAATTTAGCATCAATCTCATCGAATCACCTCCAGCCACGTGTGACACCCTGCTAGCCCCTAGATCAGCTCCTTGTTCTTGCCCTGTTAAAGGTTGAGACAGAAAAGGCAATCAACAGGCTTGTACATGATAGATCAGCTCCTTGTTCTTGCCCTGTTAAAGGTTGAGACAGAAAAGGCAATCAACAGGCTTGTACATGATATTCCAACTAGAAAAGAAGAAAAATAGAAGAAAGTATTGGTGATGTTAGGATGCTTTTAATTTGCCATCCACAACAGCTGCCAATTGGCTATCCTATCGATCAAGCCCATCTTGAGTACCAAAAAATGGATGTGTGAATATTACAGAGAAAACCATAAGAATATTAGCTTATGCAGAACTTCAAAATGAGCAAGATGTCTTGCCCATGAAATGAGATTTGCACGCTCAAACTCCGACATAGGTGAAGCTGTCACTTGGAGTGGGAGCTCTGGTGGCCGGCGCAGTCGAAGACCTTGAAGCAGAGGAGGTGGAGGAGGTCGGGGACGGGGCCCGAGGAGGGGGGAGGGAGGAGGGTGGGGGGTGTGGGCTAGGGTCTGGAGAAGAAGAAGAGGAGGAGAGAAGAGAGAAGGGAGAGGAGCAGTTAGCGGAGATGAGGAGAGAAGAGAGAGGGGAGAGGAGGCGGAGGAGAAGAAGAAGAAGAGAGAGAGGGGAGAGGAGGCGGAGGAGAAGAAGAAGAAGAAGAGGGGAAATGTAATTTCGGAATTTTTTTTTGGGAGAGTGTGAAAGGGTTGAAACACAAGGGAAAAACAAGGGGGGTTGAGACACATCTCTTTTATTTTTTGGGGGCCCAGAAACATTTTTCCCAAATTTTTAACATTTTTAAAGTTAGAATTACCTCTATGTCCTGGTTTTAAATCTTTTAATGAAAGAAGTTAAGCAATTAATATTTCACCTCGTCATAATGTAAAGCCCAACTTGTTGTAGAAAAATTACGTAGTGTTTCTCTCCGTGGCATTTTCTTTGTTCTCGCAAGAAACCTCCCACCTCCCTCCTACCCATTATGCCGATACGAACTAGTCCTGGTAAAAGTCCCATCTTTGGCAAAGCCTCATTACCTGACATAGTTTAACTTCATTACACAACACAATGAATCGTTTAACTCCATTATATGACACAATGAATCTATTTGATGCATTTGATACACAATTGTCTATCACATATAAAAAACTAGAATTTGTATGATTGAGTTCATTAATAACAGTGGATATGGCACCAGAAACTTAGGATTTGTTATTGGTTCTTCCCGAGAAGAAGAGAAACAATTTGGGTTTTTTAAAATAATTGGTTGGGTTTTGTTTTGTAATTAGTTTTTGCTGAAATTATTTTATTAATTAGTAGATTCAAAATAAGGGTTTAAAGGTAAATTTAACTTAAAAACTTTCAAAATTTTAACAGATTAGTTATAGGGGTAAATTGGGATAAAAGAAACAATCTGAGACATAAATTTAAAATTACAATAAATTGAAGGGCATCTTTAAAAATACCCATAAGGTAAGGTGTATACATTAAAAAAAACCCTTTCTTTTAAATTTGTAGGGTTCTTTCCGTGTATGCATCTCAATCTTGAGTTGTTTTTGAAGATGCCTTCCAAATCATTACAATTTCAAGATTGTCCCTCAAATTGCTTTCATTCATCAAAATTTAGCATTAACGTCCCTTAAATATTTAATTTTAATACTTTCTAGAGGAAAATTACCTCTACATCCTTATTTTCTATTAATCTTCTCAAGATCAACAAAATAAAATAATATTTGTTGTATACTTTTAGAATCCAATCCATTAGAAATTGAAATCCAACATGATCAAAACTTTAAAATTTATTTAAAATCTAAAAAAGTAAAAATTAAAAATTTATTACTCTAGTGTTTTTATTTATTTATTTATTTTATATAGTAAGGTTACTAAATAAAACTAAAAAAATATTATTTAACAGGTTTTTTAATATATGCCCTCCAAATCATAGCTATTCTTAAATCTGCCCCACAAAACATTGTTTTAACATTGCCCCCAAATTGTTTCTTTCTCTTGGTTTTACCCTTCAACCTAAATATTGTTAAAGTTTCAACAGTTTTGTATTAATTACATATGAGTCCCTATTAATGTTTAAGAGAGATGAAATCGACCAAAAAGAAAAACTTTGCATTTCACGGTTGTTGGGTTATGTCTTTATTTTCATTTTGTCCCAACGACGAACAACATCATCATCCATCTTATTACCCGTAACCGTACATATTTGAGATGATCAATCGGAATAAGGAGTAATTTGAGTAATTTATTTGGTAATTGATTGATTACCCAGTAATATCAATCTTTATTATCAAGGGGTAAAATGACTACGTAAAAATTGAAGGTTGATCCGCGGAATAAGGGACGACGGCATTCAAAGTGGGGGCGAATCACTAAAAACCACCCGCAAAAATATTCAGTCAGTGCTCAATTGTCAATTAGTTACTCATCACTCACCAGTAGGGGTGCCAAACTGTATCCGTATCCGAGGAAATATCCGTAACCGTATCCGTTAGGATACAAATATGGTTGGAAATATCCGTAACCGTATCCGTTAGGATACAAATATGGCTACTCAAATCTATTACCGATAGGATATGGTTGTGGATATGGTTTTGTAGTGAAATATCCGTATCCGTATTCGAAAATATCCGAATACATATTGGTAATATTCTTACGATAGTTTCGATTCTTAGATTATGGATTTGTGGCTAATTTTGATGATCAAGATGTCTAATCTTAGCTTTTCAATCATAATGAACATATTAACGAACTCTTTTTATATCACATGACTATATTTTTCTGAATACTATCTAGTTTTCTCATATCCTTTTTGTATCCGCATGCATATCCGTTTATATATCCTCATCTATATCCGTAACCGTATCCGATTTTGGCGGATATGGCTATGAATTTTTCTTACCGACGTATATCCGTATCCATATCCGTATCCGAGATGAGAAAGCGGATGTGGATATGGTAAGTGCTATATCCGAGCCGTATCCGCTCCGTTAACACCCCTACTCACCAGCCCATTCACTCAATTTTTTAAAGAGCTTTGCTATAGGGACCCAAAATATAGGACCAATAGGGGGGACAAGTGAGGTGTCTCCCTCCTATTGGATAATAAGTTGACCATCATTAATGGTGACCAACTCATTATCCAATAGGAGGGGGACACCTCACTTGTCCCCCCTATTGGTCCCATATTTTGGGTCCTTAAAGGAATTCTCTTTTTTAAATCAACCTCGTTTATGAAATTTTCTCCTATCTCCTTTCTTAACTCAAAACTTTTGTCACATTTTCAATTTACAAATTCTTCTACTGCAACGGCCAATTAAAATCTTCTGATTGTAAAATTATCCAATGATGAAAAAGGAGCAATATTTGGTAGTGGACTTCCCCGAGGGAAAGCCTGACGCAAGCGGATGTTATATTGTGGAAGTGAAAACTATAGGATAGACAAATGTTTAACATAAATTATTTATTAAAGTGGTGATTTATATTTTTTAATAAAAAATATCAATGAATTTAATAGAATATTCCATGTAGATTCAGCGTCATTTAAACTGGAGAGCAAACTTAAAAGAAAAATTGATTTAGAGGGCGATTTTAAATTACAATGATTTGAGGGGCAAATTTAAACATAGCTATGATTTAGAGAGCATATGAGCCTGTTCGGTTATTTCATAAAAAACCAAGAAATAGAAATGAAAACTAAGAAAACCCAAAAAGTACAATTTCATCCATTTTCATCCCTAAAACTCACCCACAACATCTAATAAAATATTATTTTTATCCAACAACTCATCCACCACATCTAATAAAATATTATTTTCATCCAACAACTCATCCACCACATCTAATAAAATATTATTTTCATCCAACAACTCATCCACCACATCTAATAAAATATTATTTCCATCCACAACATCACTCAACTCATCTCATCTGATCATTTCAAATCACTCATATCATCCAATAAGATGGTGACAACTCATCTCATCTCATTAACATTTCATTTCCACCATTTCCTCCCAAAAAGTTAGAAAAACAATTTCCTTAAGTGTGGGTCACATCATCCAATAATATAATGACAATTCATCTCATCTCATCTATTTTCTTATTTTTAAGAAATAACCAAACTAAAAAAACAACCTATTACAAGAAATAGATTTCTTATAATTCATTTCCTTATTTTTTTCGCCAACCAAACAACATCAAAACAATTTTTCTTAAAAAATCACTCACATCATCCTATAATAAAGTGACACATCATCTCATCTCATCTCCATTTATTTAATTTCCTTCTTTTTTTTAGCAAACCAAACACTCCCAAAACAATTCTTCTTAGAAATAATTTTCCATTTCTTTGATTTCCCACTTTTTTTAGGCAAACAAACAGACCCTATATGAAAAACAAAAACCCTTAAATGTAAACATTAGTCATAAGTGGGTCCCATGTACCGCTTTTCATATCTATCATTTTAGTTACGAACAAACAGTACTATTTGGATTCTCTTCCCAAAACATACTATTTAATCCACTATTTCAACAAGCCAAATACTAATTTAAAATTTTGGATTGCTAAGGATTCATTGGACTTCTTACATTGTCATAAATTCAAAATACAAATCCAGTGGCCAAACAACCCCTTAGGATATTGTCCTCAGTTAAACTTCAACTTTTCACCATAACTTATGCCCCTCTTTTATTTTACACAATCAAATTTTACATCCCTCAAAGCGGGCTTCATCTTCTCACTTACCTTCACAATAACCAAAAACAACACCCTGTACAAAATCACCATCCCCATCAAAATCCCAAGATCAACCCACTTAGAGTAACCAACCTCCATCTCCCAAAGATCCCTGAGAATTTCTTCCCCAGTTACAATATTATGCACGTCTTCACCCTCTTTCTTTTCAAAACTTAGCCCAATAAACTCGTTCTTATAATACCCTTGATTTGCATACTTATGAAATGACATATAGTACATTGGATATCTCCATATAGGCTTTGGTATATCATTACGTAGCCTGAAAAATCCTCCACAAAGCAGCATAAGACCCTGGACACCTGAGCCAGCGATTATCCCCATGAGATAATTAGGCACGATACTCGCGATGACCATCATTAGACCCTCGACTAATAACATGCACATGTATAGAATTAGACAGAAGTAGGCAAAGTGATCAAAGCCTGGTTGGAGACCGATAAGATAGTAGGCCAAGGATGCAGGGACTACAGAGACAAGGAAGAGGTAAGGAGCGGAAGAGAGTGTGCTGCTGATGACGAATGCAGTTACTCCGTAGTGCCCATTTAGTCTTTCTTGGCGAAATATCTGAAATATTGACAGAGTGGAATATGAAAATATTTGAAACATTAACGGAACGGACTAAGTAAAATCTTGAACTTGAAGTCAGATCAGCTCATGATGTTTACCAAATATTTCTAAGAAGAAGCTAACCTAATATTTTAACCCATTAAGCCCTCTAGCTATTTTATTTCAATATATTGAGTCTCCAGGGCAGTTCTCTATCGTATACATTTCTAAAAGACTATTCTGTTGAGATAATTTGGTAATACTTCTGGTGGAAAACTATCATGTGGAACTCGATTGACTGGAAATATTATTTGTAAGGGCATAATGGGTAAATATGTTTGGTCGAGTGCTTCATAGGAATGTGAGGTAAATGTCAAAGGCTGATCTGACTTTGAGCTCATAAAATCCTTAAACATTGACAAAATAGGATGAGGAAATATATTAAACATTGACAGAATGGAATAAAATATCTTAGACATTAACAAGAACTGTAATCAATGTTGTATATAGGGTTTAAGATTATTGAAGCAATGTGAATCTTTGATTGAGCTCTCGTATCTTGATTTCTATTTCAGTAACTATCCTATTCAAGAATATCAGAATGTCATTGGAGAAGTGAAAATAAAAGAATAAAGTTTTGTTCCTGGAAGCTTTCTAATATCACCTTTCTAAACTCACTACTACTTGAAAAGGTTTGCTAATATTTATGTTACTTTCTTTCAAGTACAGTACTAAAACTACAGTGCTGATGCAATAAAATTTCAATAACTGACCTTCATCTCTTCCACAAATGAAGGAAATCCGCTAATTCCCATAAAAGTCAAGAATCCAGCTACAAACATGAGAGCCGATCCTCTGGCCTGAAAATTATTAGTAAATACAAGTTCGTCAAGTAATTTATATTTGTGAGTTTAATTACACATAGAAAGACTGTTTTTTTTACTTCCTACCTGAATTGAGCCATAATCATGTCCAATGTTATGGAACATTGTACCAATGCTCAGACACAACGCAGCATAAATTGCAAGGCGCAGCCAGTAGTAGCCAAGATCTCTGTACATATTGACAAATGATCTCTTTGTGAGGATGGTACATTGAGAAATGAAACTAGCTTGATTCCCTTTTTTTACAAGGTCTCCTTCCTGCAAAATAGTCATCAACCGCTCAGTCACGGGATTCTTACTTAATTATCCAGTAAATAAGTAGAGGCGGAAAGAGAAAAATGATTGACTAGCAACATGACAGGTTAACAAATACTAGCTTACAGTTTTGATGATCTGAGCTACTTGCAGTGTTACTTCTTGCCAAGTATTTGACAATCTGTATGATCTTGTGAACCGTTCACTTCAAAGAACTGCATGCACATAAAAAGAATATATATTGAAGTACAATCCATAATTTGAGAGTTCTCTTTTCCTGTATTATGTAGCACATGTACAACATTTGAAAGCTGTATTTCATTCCTGATAAAATTTGATGATTGTATCCTTCAGAAGATTCAACAAATTTTTCAATCAAATGCTTGCTGTATGGACTTTGATAGGTAATCTTAGATGTGATCTTTTCGTAGGAAAAATTAAACCTCCATTTTACAGGTATATAATTTTGCTACCGTGAGAAGATTGTAGATTGTGAATCACAATGAACTTTAAAAAAGACCATATCATAAAAAAAAAGCTATAATACTCTCAATAAAAACATGAAATCAGCAATAACGATCATTATTCTCAACACGTAATAAACTCAAACGGAACTAGACTTACCTCATTGGCCATAGTTCTAGGTCCAAAATAAACAGTTTTGCCGGAAGATAAAAGGCACAAGTTATCAAACAGCTCAAAAACTTCACTGCTAGGCTGATGAATTGATGCAATAGTGTTCATATCATCAAACTTCGCTAAGTTGGCAATCCTATTCATTACATGAAATGATGCAGCGCTATCTAGGCCACTAGTTGGCTCATCCAAAAATAGAAGCTTCGGACGAGTCAAGATTTCAATGCAAATGCTAACTCTTCTCCTTTGGCCACCACTGATTCCTTTTGAATGTACCCCTCCAATACTTGTGTTCACTGCATCTTGCAATCCCATTTCCTTTATAGTTACCTCTGCTCTTTCTTTTTTCTCGGACTTTGACATAGAATTAGGGAGTTGGAGTTCCGCAGAGTAGTATACAGCTTCTTTAACTGTCAATGTTGTCATTAGGATATCATTTTGAGTGACATAAGCCTGCACAAACAGTGAAAGGTGTTAAACTTTCAAGTACAAAGAGTCACTGATAAACAAAACTATAATTGAGATTTTATAGCGTAGATGTTCTTACTGATGTTCCGAAGGATAGAGTTTGGATAAACAAAACTATAATTGAGATTTTATAGCGTAGATGTTCTTACTGATGTTCCGAAGGATAGAGTTTGCTTACGACCATTCACTAAAATATTTCCAGATTGCTTTGTGCTTGATCCTAGCCTCCCTGGTGGAGAATTAACCATTAAAGATCACTTACAAAATCTAAAACAAAACCTTGTAATTTCAGCATAATAGTGCATAATTGATCAATTAAGGGGTAGCAAAGATTGATATAGTTATTTTCTATAGTATATGAATTGAATTACTCAAAAATCAAAATTAAGGGAAGGCAAAAGTTGATATACTTTATGTTCATGAGTATTATAGATTCTTGATAAATTGAAGTGGCTTTGTCTGAACAATTACTGTAATGACACCGTTCAACAGGAAGGCCATTTCTTCAATCCTAAATGTCTATTAATTAACGGACAATTAAGTGAAAACCAGTGACATCTATGGGGAATAATTAGTACTAGTTATATAAAATCGAACTCTCAGTCTAAAGATTCACTGTACTATTATTTAAAAGAAGCCCTTTCAGCTTTTGGGAACTTTGAATTCCGAAAAGGCCCTCGTCTCTGAATTAAAAAAAATACCCTCACACTTCAAAAATCAGCAAAAGTGGCCTCATGCGTAGAAAAAAACAATGAAAATCCTTTCAAACTATGGGGGAAAACTTAAAAAATTGTATGCTAGCTCCCTTTACAACCGGCTACAACATTCTCTTAGGTTCCGTGTCATGCACATGTTGTTAGAATTTAAACGTGATTAAATCATAGAGAATAAACAAAAAAGGAGCGGAAGCTTATACCTGAATCCATAACTTAAATCTAAGTTAGGGTTTTGATGATCTTCTAATCTTAGGGTTTCTTCCTTAATGGTCTCTTTAGATGGGGATAAGAGAATGAGAGTGGTTAACCCTAGATTAGTGACTATATCGCCATATATATATATATATATATATATATATATATATATATATATATATATATATATGAGGAAAATTGGAGATAACCTTGGTACGCGGCGAAAGTTGCTTTTAAAACAACTTTGGTAGTGATTGACCTAATCTTACCCCACAGATGCACACGGCATCGAAAAGATAGTAACTCACACACCTTCAACCAACTCAAAATGTAGATGTAGGGACAAGATGTAGGCCATATCACTACGCGAAGTTGTTTGACGGCAACTTTGGTACCGGAAAGTTTTTCGCATTTCACCTGCTCTCTCTCTCTCTCTCTGCTAATATATATATATATATATTATATATATATATATATATATATATATATATATATATATATAATATATAATTATATTATATATATATATATATATATATTGTACATTTGTATTTTGACCCATCATCAAATTACAATTATAACATGGTATCTGCACATATAACCCCATGATTTATTTAAATACCCATTAACTCAAATTGATTGATCACTTTAAGTGGGTTATCTTTAAAGATAGCAATACACATTGATTAATCATATGTGCCCACAATTAGATTTAAATCTAACAATCTCCCACTTGGGCACCATATGATTCCTTAAATTGTGTATAACCTTATGAGCTCATAATTGCTATCACTGAAAAGGTATTTTCGAACAATCTCGTCCATTGACTATATCAATATAGGATCAAAGCAGTCTTTGTCACATTTATCGTGACTCGACCCATCAATGGTCACATATACCAATACAATCAAACGACATAGATCAATCATAGATGTGCAGCATGAAAATTACATGCAATGTGATCAATACATGTCTATTTTCAACTGTTCCAACTTTAGTGGCCGGGGTCAAAACCAAACATAATATAACAGAGTGTATGAACTAAAAAACTTTATTCTGATCAGACAATACAACCTAACATAAAGTACCAAAAATTATAAACTCCCACTAAATCATGATATCCTCGAATATCACCACTCTCATATGAGCGGTGTGCTCATGAAAGACCTTGGGTGGCAATCCATTAGTAAGAGGATCTGCTATCATGGAGTTTGTCTCAATGTGCTTTATGGATATCTGTCCACTCTGTACCCTTTCTTTCATAACCAGGAACTTAATGTCAATATGTTTTGACTTATTTGAACTCCTGTTGTTATTAGAATACATTACTGTAGATTTATTGTCACAATAACTTTATTGGTCTTTCCACATTTTCCAGAATGCGCAGTCCCGTGAAAAAATTTCGCAACCATATTCTCTGATTAGATGCCTCATAGCAACCTATAAATTCTGCTGTCATAGTGGAGGAAGTTACAAGTATTTGTTTGACACTTTTTCATGATATAGCTCCTCCTGTTAACATATAAATATAGCCTGATGTAGACTTCCTGCTATCTTGGCATCCAGTAAAATCAGAATCAGAGTACCCAATGACCTCCAGCTGTTCTGATTTTCTGTATGTGAGCATATAATCTTTTATTTTCTGAAGATACTTCATAACCCTTTTGACTACTATCCAATGATCCATACCAGGGTTGCTTAAGTATCTGCCTAACAACCCAACAATGAACGCAATATCCGGACGAGTACATACCTGAGCATACATTAGACTTCCTACAGCCGAAGCATAAGGAATCTTCTGTATTTCCTAAATTTTAAGGTTACCTTTAGGACACTGATTTAGACTAAACTTGTCTCCTTTAGCAACAAAGGTATCTTTTGGTCTGCAATCTTGCATGCCAAACATTTTAAGTACTTTATCGATATAGCTCTTTTGTGATAATCCAAGTATACCTCGAGAGCGATCTCGATGTATCTGGATTCCTAATATAAAAGAGGCGTCCCCAAGATCTTTCATCTTAAAATTCTTTGATAGAAATCTATTGGTTTCGTACAACATGCCTATATCATTAGTGGCAAGTAATATGTCATCGACATACAGAACTAGAAAAATATACTTACTCCCACTGAACTTGTGATATACACAGTTATCAACAATGTTCATCTCAAAACCGAACGAGATAATTATTTGTTGAAACTTGTAATACCATTAACGAGGAGCTTACTTGAGTTCAAAGATGGATTTTCTTAATTTACAAACCATATTCTTTGGGTCTCCTGACACAAAGTTTTCTGGTTGCACCGTATAAATCATCTCATTAATGTCGCCATTGAGAAATGCAGTCTTAACATCCATCTGATGTAACTCAAGATCATAATGAGCAATAAGTGTCATGATTGTTCTGAAAGAGTCTTTCGATAAAACCGGAGAGAAAGTCTATGTATAATCAATGCCTTCCTTTTGAGTAAAGACTTTAGCTACAAGACGTGCCTTATACCTCTCCACATTACTATTTGCATCCCGCTTGGTTTTAAATATCCATTTACAACCAATTGGTTTTGCACCTTCTGGTAATGAGATAAGTTTTCAAACATTATTGTCTTGCATAGACTTGTATTCTTCACTCATGGCATCAATCCACTGTTGAGAGTTAGAACTTTTCATGGCCTGAAGGAAGTTGATTGGATCATCTTCTAACAGTCCATTACTTTCCTTATGTTCTTGGAGAAATACAATATAATCATCTGAAATAGTATTTCTCCTTTCTCTCGTGGATCTCCTTAATGGCACTGGTTCTTGAGGTTGTTGAGTTTGTTCTTCTGGAACAGGGAGTTGTTCAACATTATCATCTTGAGGTTTCAGATTTACTTCTTGAGCAACAACAGGTATAAGAACCTGAATATTGTCAAAAGTAACTGTATGGATTGGATCTAAAGTCAATTCCTCCTCAAAAGTAATGTCTCTTACCTTATTTCTCCCCCCAAACTCAACATCCTCAAAGAATGTTGTTGTTTCCGTCTTAAAAATATTTCTTAGTGTGGGATCATAGAACTTATAGTGCCTAAAGCGTTCAGAGTATCCAATAACGTAGCTGCTAACTGTTTTGGAGTCTAATTTCTTTTCATTTGGCCTATAAGGCCTTGCCTCAGTTGGACATCCCCAAATATGTAAGTGCTTTAAACTGGACTTTTGACCAGTCCAAAGCTCATAAGATGTTTTAGCAACTGTTTTTCTTGGTACTCTGTTCAGAATGTAAGCTGTTGTCTTAAGTGCTTCTCCCCAGAGTGACTCTGGTAAAGAAGAATGAGCAATCATACTTCTTATCATATCCTTAAGAGTCCTATTTCATCTTTTACCTACACCATTTATGCTAGGTGAACCCGGCATTATGTACTGTAGGACGATACCATATTTCTCTAGGTATCTAGCAAATGATCCTGGACGTTGTTCACCTGAACCATCATATCTGTCGTAGTACTCACCACCACGATCAGATCTAACGGTTTTAATTCTTTTGTTGAGTTGATTCTCAACTTCAGCTTTATAGGCTTTGAACATGTCCAGAGACTCAGATTTCTCATGAATAAGATATAGGTACCAATAACGTGAGTAATCATCTATGAATAATATAAAATATTGTTGACCATTTGTTTGTGGAAAATTTATAGTAAAAAGACAGTGAAAGAAAATTGATTTGTATTCTCTCAAAATCGATTACAATTTGGATTTCCTGATGTATTCTCTCAAAATCGATTACAATTTGGATTTCCTGATTACAAAAGAGAGGAGAATGAATTTGATTCTTCCCTTTGTTTAATTTGGATTTCCTGATTACAAAAGAGAGGAGAATGAATTTGATTCTTCCCTTTGTTTAAAACTGGGTTCTTTACGGTGGCGATGGAGTGCCTTCCTCGAATGCTCACGTCGAGTTTGCTCTTCGTTAACGATCCGACGTTTTGTTTCACTGGAACGATGTCCTCTCCTCACGATTTGACGTTGTGGAGAACTTACGTGGCAAGTTTTAGAACTCTGAACGAGTTTAGAAGAACTCTATAAAAGAGTTGATTTGAACTGAAAGTTCGGTTGATAAGCCAAGGATGAAAGCTGTTGCTCAAGGATGATTCAAGATCTTCTTGTTGCCAAGTATCTCTCTCCAGCAGATCTCCTCCAATGCCTGCCCAAGGATCTCTTCTGCTGCTGCCCAACCGAGAGCCAAATCCCCTCTACTCGAACCCCTGAACTGAATTGATTTTAGTTATTTATAGAGGATTAATGGGGTGTAACTACCCCTTAAATCACTCCTAAGTGGGGTGTAACCGCCCTTCAATCATGGAAAAC